GCACCGCGGCGGGGTCCTCTCCGAGGTTGCCTTTGTGCAGTCCAGCGGTGGGTCCCGCAGGGCTGGCTGCGGAGTCCCCGCGCGGAGGCCGACCTCCGCTCAAATTCGGACGCTGGACGTCAGCACCCGTGGGCAAGGACTCCCCCTGCTCTGCCCAGATCCCTGAAATGACTTCCTGCGTTACACACTGGGGACTGGCTGGAGGAGATCTGTGGACACTTCCCCCAGGAACGTGTGGCCAGCCGGGGAAGATGCCCTACCCAAACCTTCGTCCAGCTGGCACGGCTGGGCAACCCGGAAAGGCGGGCAGAGGAGACGGATGAGCGAGATGTTTCTTTTCGGCTAGTGGTTATTTTCAGGCAACGGGAAATCTGACAATTCAGGCTGCTCCAGCCACATGCAGAGGGCAGTACGGGTGGTGTGGCACGTCCGTTACGTTCCCTTTAGACTTCGGCCGCGGCTTTACACCCAGGTCCACTCCATGTTATAAAGGCAACGGGAAGCCGAAAGCTGTAACGCTGCAAACGTGGGGTGGGGTTGGCTGTTCAAATGGGGGGCATTTTTGCTTTCCCAAGGGGAGACTGACACAGGGGTGTTTTTGCTTTCCCAAGGGGAGACTGACACAGGGGTGTTTGCGCTCATTTTTTCCCACCGGTGTGCGGAATAACGTTTGCTCTGTGCACCGAGGCATGTGCAGATGTGCACCACCACATGCCACCAGCCATGGGTGGCTGTGGGCGTGCTGCTGATTTCTTGGGCAGCATCTGAATCTCTCCCGGGGGGGCTGCCCAAGCGCTCAGCTTATGGGGAACACTGGGGGTGTTGCCTGGGCTTTGCATGGCACGAGAGAGGGTGAGAAGCCAAGGGCCACAATACCGCTTACGTGGTGGTTAGATTCCACTTAAATTCACAGGCCCCGATCCTGCAACCTGCTTTACTCACATTAGGCCTTTACCAGTCAATGGGGCTGCTAGCTGGGGGGGACGGGGGGTTGACGTTAAACCAAATGTCAGTGTTTGAAGAGTGGGGTCTATATGGCTGACGTAAGTGGCTTGTAGGTTTCTGTGCAGGGCTGGAATTCCGCTCCCCCAGGAATGCTTCTGTACCCCTAATTGCCTGCCCCGTGGCATAGCCATGCTGCTGGAAACCCCCACCTGTGCCCCACAAAAATATTCCTGCTGCTGTGTCTGCACCTTCCATGGCCGGTAGCCGAGCGTTTGCCGAAGGAGCCGCTTCCGGAGCCCGCGCTAGCTTTGTTGCCAAATAAAGGACTGTTTTTTGCCTCCAGCGGGCGTCCAGCTCTTCCTGTTCTCCACGGCCGTCTAGAGCCCACAATAAGCGTCGATCGCATGGGGCTAAGGAGAGGCTCAGCTTGGTTGTCCACAGCCCAACGTTCCTGGCTGCTCAGGCAAGATGCGGCCCTGGGGCCGGACGCGGCCCACCTTACACTTGGATTCGGGTCATGGACGGGATCTGGCTGCTTTCTGTTTATAGCCTGCTGCTCGTGCCACTGAATTTCCAGGCGGTGGCTCAGGCCGCAGGATCCTATTTCAGTGGCTCCCAGCTGTGATGCAGCCCGGCAAGGGCTGAAGCCGTGAGCCCTTTAAATTCCCAAACTTTTCGGCATCACGCCCCCTTTTTGATTTTTGAGAAACCCTCACGCCGCCCCCCTCCCCCCCAAAATAGCAACAAAACTTGTTGAGCAAAAAAAAGGAACTGACTGGGGTTGAAAAAAAAGTCAAAAGTCGCGGCCCCTTTAATTCCCGGGACCCATGTAAAGGTGCCAGTACTCAGGGGAGTATTCTGAATTTTTTAACCGGACACACACACCCCAGAATTTCGGCATGCCCCCCAGTTTGGGAACCTGTGCTCTAAATAGTCGCGGCAACCCCGGACAGCTGCCAGGCAACAGCGTCGTGGTGGAACTGGGAGCCGCGAGCTCTTTGCTGTGTTTCTACTTCAAAGCCTCCGGCCCCAGACAACTCAGGGGGAAGGGGTGGTGCTAGTCCTCAGCCCCGCCCCTTCCACCTCAAGCCCCACCCCTTTGGGGGTGGAGCCAGCCCGTGACCACGTACCAAAATTCATTAAGTGGCCCACCCCTGTGAAAATTATTACCCACCCAGGTTAGGCCCTTTGGGAAAGCGCACAGGGCTGGGAGCCGGATTCAGCTGAGCCTTATCTACAGCTCCCAGGTCAAAGAAGGCACCAGGTGCTACCAAAGCAGGATGTGTTGATGCAAATGTCTTCTCAGGACCCAAGACACCAGTGATTCAAGTGCCAGGGGTCCCTACGCTCCCCTCCTCCACGCTCTCTAGCGAGAGCGCAATTCATCTTCCCATCAACACCCTATGGTCCCAGGTTGGTGTTCGGCAAATGGGCCCCCTCTTCAAACGAACCCCCCCGCAGCCAAAGAGCCGCTTGAAATCCAGCTCCAGATCCGGAATCGGCATCGAGGTTCCATCCTCACTGGAGAACCCGGGGGCCAGGCTGGGGGCAGCCCTACATGGGTGGGACATTAGGAGAAACACTGCAATAAATCGCCCAGGGAGGTTGTGGAATCTCCATCACTGGAGATATTTAAGAGCCGGATAGACAGACACCTGTCAGGGATGATCTAGATGGTGCTTGGTCCTGCCGTGAGGGCAGGGGACTGGACTTGATGGCTTCTCGATGTCCCTTCAGTTCTAGTGCTCTGTGATTGTATGAAAACTGAAGGACGAAGACTTCCTCACAGTCCCAGTTCTGGGGAGCAGTGCAGGAGGCAGAATCATAGAACAGTAGGGCTGGAAGGCACCTTGAGAGGCCATCTAGTTCCTCACCCTGTGCTGAGGCAGGACCAAGTCAACCTACATCATTCCTGACATGGGTTTGTCCCACCGGGCCTTAAAAGCCCCAGGAATGGGAATTCCACGACCTCCTATTCCAGACCGTATCGATCCTTGTAGTTGGAAAGTTTCCCTACTGTCTAACCTAACCCTGCTGCAGGTGTATCCCATTGTCCTATCTTCTGTGGGCACAGAGAGCGGCAGCTCATGGTCCTTGTTGCAACAGCCCTTCATATGCTTGGTATCAAGTCCCCCACCCCCAGAACTACAGGGCTGTGTCTACACTGGCTGCTCGAATTTCCGCAAGAACACTGACAATCTCATGTAAGAAATCAGTGCTTCTTGCGGAAATACTGTGCTGATCCCGTTCGGGCAAAAGTCCTTTTGTGCAAAAGGGCCAGTGTAGACAGCTCAGATTTGTTCTGCGCAAAAAAGCCCCGATGGCGAAAATGGCGATCGGGGCTTTTTTGCGGAAAAGCGCGTCTAGATTGGCCACGGATGCTTTTCCACAAAAAAGTGCTTTTGCAGAAAAGCGTCCTGCCAATCTAGATGCTCTGTTCCAAAACTTTTCCGTTAAAAGCATTTCCGGAAAATCATGCCAGTCTAGACGTAGCCCAGTTGTTTTAACCTTTCCTCACACTGGAGGTTTGCGAAACCCTTTAGCCCTTTGATAGTTCTCCACTGCACCCTCTCCAGTGTGTCCACATCTTCCCTAAAGTACGGCATCAGAGGCGGCGGAGCCTTCCCCAAAATCAAGGGGGCTGGGGACCTGCCCCCTCCGTAGCCCCACCACATCCCTCGTCTTCTCCCCGAGGCCCTACGCCTGGCCAAGCTAGAGGCAGCCGAGGGACTAGTAGGTTAGGATTAGCTGGTGTTTTTTTCTTTATTTTAATTTCGCAACTTACTTTGATCTGTCTGTTTTCACTTGCAACCACTTAAATCCCACTGTTTGTATATAATAAAAACACTTTTGTTTATCGTCAAACCTGGTGCAAATAATTGTTACTTGGGAGAGGGAGCAACCATTGTGCATATCTCTCTTTCACTGCTAGCTGGGGGTTTGCTCTGTAACACTTTTACACAGAGTAGGATGGATTTATTTGGGGTTGGTTTCCCAGCTGAGTCCTCCCACAGCTGAACTGGTTCAGCATCCATGTTGTGCTGAAGGGGAGTGGTAACCCCAACTCTGAGCCTGGGGGAGACCAGAAGATCTGGCCCAGCAGGACAGGGTGGTGGGGAATCCCAGAGAGCAGGAAGGCAGACATCAGTGGCTTGATCAGCACACTGGGGGACAACCCCAAGTGGATTCCTCAGAGTATTTCCTGACTGAAAGGCTCAGCAAGCGTTTGGGCTGTCATGGAAAGTCTCTCAGGTCAGATAGGTCCCCCAAAGAAATCTATGAGGTGACTGCGAACCCGTCCTCTGAGGCCCCATGGTGCATGGATCTCTAGGGCAGTGGT